ATATGACCCCCACATTCACTTTCATTTTGATGCATGGGTGGAGTTTTACTTTGAAATCAGACAAGCAGAATGCATTTAGAGGCGCTATTATTGCAATAACATGGCAGAGCAGGCACATTGAGACGTATAGAAAAAATTGCAAAGGATTTGATTGAACTTCCAAAAATTACTCACTTAAAAAGAATTTAACAATTTTTAAACAACTCCTCACCTTCTCATAGTCATCACTACACTATGTGAGAATCAACATATAAATAAACAAAAAATTGCATGAACAGCAGGTTTTTTCTGTACTTGAAAGCTTATAATAGGGTCTTTTATTAAAAAGATGACGATCTGAAGTAGCATTTGCACCCATTTCGTCAAGAAGCTTAGAAGCACTTTCTGTGGACAATTGATGGCCCAGATTCATCGTACTCGGCCTTTGCAATCCACATCTGTAACATAGTTTATAGCATATTAGGTTCAGGAAATAGATAAGATAGTAATGTCTGTAAAAACAAAGTATGAAATTTTGTTTATGTCCATGAGCAAATTCAAAGCTGCCCACCTGCTGGAATGTACTGAGTGATGCCAAGATGGAACCTCCGATCCAAACACTGTATTTTCTCTCAGGAGGTGCCACTACCTTGATCTTCATGCTGCTGGGGGCTAGGGCTGTGATTTCCTTGCTCATTCTATCAGCGATACCAGGGAACATAGTAGTACCACCACTGAGGACAATGTTTCCGTATAGGTCCTTCCTGATATCCACATCACACTTCATGATAGAGTTATATGTAGTCTCATGAATACCAGCTGCTTCCATTCCGATGAATGATGGCTGGAAGAGAACCTCAGGACAACGGAAGCGCTCAGCTCCAATAGTGATGACCTGCCCATCGGGGAGTTCATAGCTTTTCTCAACTGAAGAGCTAGTCTTGGCTGTCTCCATTTCCTGCTCATAGTCAAGGGCAATGTAGGCAAGCTTTTCCTTCATATCCCTTACAATTTCTCGCTCAGCTGAGGTGGTGAAAGAATATCCACGCTCAGTGAGGATTTTCATCAAGTGGTCTGTCAGGTCACGACCAGCAAGGTCAAGACGAAGGATAGCATGTGGGAGGGCATATCCTTCATAGATGGGGACAGTGTGACTGACACCATCACCAGAATCCAGCACAATACCTGCATGGATCAGAGAATATCGCAACATGAAGTTCTGCTGTGTAGAATTCTGAGCATTATGCAGGCAAAGTATTTTGAACAGATGGAATATGAATAATCAAGGGAAATGTGGTCATGAAATCATTATTGAACAGACGGTGTTCAGGTGTTAGAAAATATTACACCAACAAAAATTGAAGCTGCACATCTATCTTTGACAGCTTACCTGTTGTACGTCCACTGGCATATAGAGAAAGAACAGCCTGAATTGCAACATACATAGCAGGGGTGTTAAAAGTCTCAAACATTATCTGAGTCATCTTTTCACGATTAGCCTTAGGATTTAGAGGTGCTTCAGTCAAAAGAACAGGGTGCTCTTCTGGAGCCACACGTAGCTCATTGTAGAAAGTGTGATGCCATATCTTTTCCATATCATCCCAATTGCTCACAATACCATGCTCAATAGGGTACTTCAAAGTGAGAATACCACGCTTGGATTGAGCTTCATCTCCAACATAAGCATCTTTCTGACCCATGCCAACCATGACACCAGTGTGACGGGGACGACCAACAATACTTGGGAAGACAGCTCTAGGAGCATCATCTCCGGCAAATCCAGCCTGAAAAAATAATAATTCGTTTTATGATAAATGTGGGAAGATATTAAATAAAAATTTGTCATGGAAAACATCAGCTAAACTGAACATAGCCAGAGTTGGACAATTACCTTAACCATCCCAGTTCCATTGTCACAGACAAGTGGCTGAATGTCCTCACCGTCGGCCATCTTTTATAGTATGCTGAAATTAAACCAAAATCAGCTACAGATCATGATTGATAACGCCACAGTTACTGTAACTAATGAGGCATCGTGCTAACTAATGAGTTCTTGTAAAACAGTATAAAATTGGTAATTTAATTTACAATCTCTGGAGTCTGGACCGACAGGCCAACATATTCATAAACAAAGCATTAAATTTAGTGCTTAAAAATAAGCCCTTTCACAGGAAAGCACAGAAGACAACCAAATTTCCGTCCTACTTAAGACTTTGAAGGGCCATCAAATCCCCTCCAGTCTTTCTAGGTTGATCTCTCCCAATCCACCTTAAATTCAAAAAGATCATTTTTACATGTTCAGGCTCTATCTGTTCTATAGTCTATACTCAATTTACATGTGCCATTCCACCTCATAACTTCCTAAGAATTGATTAAATGTACGAGTTTGTTTCTTATTCCAATTGTGCTGTACCCTGGAAATGTCTCAAAACATTACGGAGTATGATTCATCAAAACTTTAGAGGGGTGTAGATTACAAGCTGTTGCAGAAATTCCTAACAAACGCGACATAAAGAATATGCTGCAGACATCTACATCTTAGGCAACTTGCATTTTAATCTTGCAGAGTCAGTCGCGCTTATCATACATCACTGTCTTACCACACCCTCACTCCAATTGTTTATCTTTTACAATGTATACAATCAATTAATCAATCCTCCTAAGAATTCTTCTGAAGTACCTCACAAATCACAAGCTAGATTCTACCATCTCTCAGGATTCACTTGTGAATGTTACGGAGTACAATAAATAAAAGACGACGATGAACAAAAGCTACCACATTTAAATCATAAAGAACATAATCAAAATTATCTCATGATTGCAGATTTATCAAACCAAATGCTTTCGAATTGACGATTACAAACTAGCCTCAGATCATAGAAATCTACATTGATTAGCCAAATTCTTTCAATTTGATCATCTTCTGACAATGTTCATACAAAACCATACATATTAACAAATTTTAACATCAAATTCATCAAAATGATCAGAAAAATCAGCCGGCATTCTGATGAAATGGAAAACTCAGAAGAAAAAAAAAATCAAATCAAACCGAAAATTGCGGCATTAAAAACAATGCCGATTATCAAATTGGAATAAAAAAAAATCAAATTCTCTAAAATGATGATCAATTCAGACCTTGAATAGCAAAATAAAAAAATCACCTCAAAATTATGACAAATTGAACCAAAAAAATGCGCAACAAAAAAGCAAATGTCGATGATCAAAGATTAAAAGAGCAAACAAATGAATCAAAATTGATTAAGAGAGAGAAATTGATGATACCTTGAAGAGAGAGAAAGTGGAGGAGGGAGAAAACGTCGAAGATGAATGAAAGAGAGAGAGAGAGAGGAGGGAAAATGAGAAGAAATGGGGGAATTGCAGAGGAATATATTTTAAGAAGGTCGCTGTGACATCTCCGCCGTCCGTTTGTACAGCCTGGATCTTCGGATTTAATGACACGTAAGCAACGATGGAAGGTGGTGATACTGAGTGTGTATGTGAGCGGTCCCGCGATTTCCCAGTCAATCTCTTGCTGTAAATTACGCTTTTGGCCCCCACTTCTTTGCTTTCTTCCCTTCCCCCTTCTTTTTTTGAAAAAATTAATTCTTTAACATTATTAATAATTACTTTTTATTTTTTAATTAAAGGATATGTCCATAATTTGTTGATACAAATCTTTGTTTAATAATAATGAAAAAATAAAACTTTGTATAATAGTATTGGTGATTCTAATTAGTTTGTTTACAGACAACACTCTCTGTGTTTCAGAATAACTGACACAGTCAAACTTTATATATATGAAATTTATTAAAAAAAAGTATTATGAAAATTTATATCAATACCTTTCTAACAATATACTACCTCCGTTACACATTATTTGCAACGATTTGACATAAAGTAAAGAGGGAAAATGTCTAATCGTTGCAAATAATATGTAACGGAGGTAGTATTTGATGATAATATATTAATATATGTTGCTATTGTGTTAATAAAAAAAACTAAAGTTAAAGCTAATATATAATACTTAAATAGTGAAAAAAGTCCAACGTACAGTTACTCTGGCATGGAGGAAGTAAGTCATATTTTTATTGTCAATATTTCCATATATTTTTAGTTTTTATGGATTGTTATGCCTCAAAGGCTCAAACCATAACTCACAAAAACTTTTGAGGGAAAAAAAATAATGAAAAATTTGGTGCAAAATACATTTTGTGGTGGCTACTGTCTTATTCTACAAGGTATTGTTTTTTTTAAAAAAAAAAAGAAAAAAAAAAGAAAAGAAAAAAAAAAAAAAAAAGAAAGAGTAAAGGGTTGATGGATGTCGAATTGATTTTATGTTATGTTATGCATTTGACAAGATTTATTAGATTAGCTTACATTGAATCATTGATTAACATGAATTATCGATTACAAGAGTATTAACTTTCGGGATTCCCATGTGAAGAGAATGTTAGAGAAAAAGTTAGATTAAAACGTCTAATAAGTTGTGAGTAATAATCTAGAAAAGAATGTAAGGATATGGTTAAGAATTGTATATTTGACCATTACACAAAACCTATATTGAGCAATATATAATTATATACTAGGATAAAAGATTCTAACAGATTTCATGTCCATGACAAATAGATTCCTGATGTGAGACATTAGTGCGATCCATTATTATATAAAGTTGGCTGGAAAATTATGTAAATATATAATTTTAATACCAACCATCACAAAGAAAAAAAAAAAAAAAAAAAAAAAAAAAAAAAAGAGGTAACAATAACAGAATGTATGAAATCATTACAATTATAAAGTTCTGCATTCTTTGCAACAAAAAAAATAAAGTTCTGCATTCTTCTTAGCTGGAGATACCTACAGACCTTACAGGCTAACAATAGTATGTGCATATTGCACGTTCATATTATAAAGGAATTATAAAATTCTAAAGCAGGAAAAAAAGGCAGATCCAACTTTAAGGCCAACATTTCTCATTGTAAAGATAGGAAAAAAGTAACAAAATTATCACTAAATTGATTGACAGAAAGGTTTAAAATTAAGATATGTTTAAGCATTGATAAATAAGGTATTAATATGATTGGTTTCGAATGCTATTTCATTATCCTGAAAGACGGGAAACAAAGAAAAACTTATGGAGATACAAAAATAGGGATACAAGTTTACTTGAATGATCTAGAGATGTGACAGGATTGATTACTACACTGAAGTAAGTTTGCAGCAACGAGAACATGATTAATCGAGTAGCTTGAACATGAAGCTTGAATAACTTATAGTAAGATGTAGCTTGAATTATTGGGCTAACTCAAACAGGGACAGAACGATGGAGACAGTGTCGATCCAGGAAATCTACTGCAGCTCTTTTCTACAGGAATGGAGGCAATATCACCCATCTGCGTGGGTACTTGGGTTTTCCATCCTTACCGTCAAACAACTGCAGGAACAAGAACAAAGGAGATGAGATACAAAGATAAAGGTGGAAACAAACTTAGTACACTAATTGTAATCATGAGAAGCCTGTAAACTGCTATAAAGCTGAAGATACACAAGTATTTTAAAGAGAATACTGCTTCTCAGATTTTGCTTCAGTGTTCACAATTACAAGAGGGATTCTTAAAAATTGAGAACACAGTGGTCAAATAAGCCATAATAAACCATTATTGTTGCTATATGGTCATCTAAACGGTAAAATGTACTTCGCATATATTTTTAAGTGACAGATATTTGAGAGACAAAGTAGTTGCTTAGTTGGTGTGCCCAGTGTCTAGGCTAAAGAAGGCTCCATATCTACTTAAGCTTCCTCATGGTCTATCCAAGAAAAAGGCTCAAGTGACTTTCTCTACTATGATTGTTATTTTGATCAATCAGAACAGCAACGACTCTATGAGTTTATGTGCTACAAAATCATCACTTATGTGTTAAATTGACAATGAACAAAAATCTTACTTTACCAGTTGCTATATAAAGGAGTCTTAAAAAATGAAGCTTACCCCCCTCCCCCTAAGGGCCAGCATTCTGGTGGAATCCATGTCACTAGAAGTTTAGTTTCACAGCATAACCAAATATGTGCATGTGGGTCTCTGCCTCGTCAATCCTACCCCTAAAGGAAGAGCTTGAGTGTAGATATGCTACTACATTAAAAATGCCTCCTAACATACTCTAGAAAGTTCAACCCCTCCCGCCCCCCCCCCCCAAACCACCTTTTTTCTTTTCTCTTCTAGTGTGTGTGTGTGTGTGTGTGTGTCTGTGTGTGCGTTTATGTTTGTTTTAGTCAGTTCAGTGGGACACAGGCTACTTGCAATATTTAGCATTTCAAAAAGGGATTTATTCATTCACGTTAGGGGAAGATTGTAGACATTACCTTCTTGAGACGCCTATGCTTCGCAAGTGCCCAGTTAGTCATAATACCGGCAGCAACCACGGCAAAGACATAACCTGCCACAGTTTGGGTAGCAATATTGAAGCCTACCCACTGATAAATCTCTGTGGTGTAGTTGGCACAAGTCACAATATTGAACAAAAACCCATGAGGTATCTGGTAACCTCCATTTCCATCAGGCCTCCGCAGATTCTTCAACAAGATATGACAGTAGAAGTTTGAAAGCTGGCAGAGCAACCCAAATCCAAATCCAATCTTCCATTGCAGCTCACTAACAGGGGTGTAGAGTGGATGATTCACGTAGTATGCAATGAAAGCTCCAAAGGTCCAGTAGTACAAGCAATTGCGGAACACATTGGACAGAGGAGAAGTTGCATGGCTGAAGCGATGCACAAAAAATGTTTCCATGATACGTTTGAAATAGTGAAAACACCAATAATAACAAGCATACGTCTGCACTGGGTGTATGACACGCTCCTCTTTGTAGCCAAAGAACCGATAGACAGGGAGGTAGTGAAAAATGGGGTAGATTACCAAAGGACCCAAGTACTCAAAAAAGAAAAGAGTACGGTAAGAAACCTGGGGTCCCAGGTCCTTGAACACCACAGTTAAGGTGTTTGAATTACCATCAGAATACTCTTTGAGGCTCTTCTTGCTGTTTAGGACAGCTGGTCTTTCCTTTGATCCCGGTTGGACAGGAAGAGTTAAACGTTGTCTGGAAGGATAATATTTCTTGGCTACAAGGCAAATCATATTCAAGAATCAGGAGGCAACATAGCCAAAGAAAACCAAAAATGGAAATGAAATATTGATAAATAATTCATCAAATTAATCAATTGAAAACCTTTTGATGTTCTTTCACTATCTCTAACTCAAGAGGGGAAAAAACAAAAAAACACTAAACAATGCCACTACCTACTGCAAGTCATCCCAGGGTTAGCAAAAAACAAAAACCGCTGACTGCAATAGCCAAAATGCTATTTTTCCCTGAAAAACCTTTACCTACGCCAATAAGATAATTTCTACATCAGACACAGTTCAAAACTAATACCATACCTCTAAACTTCATTAATACGTTGCTATCAAGTATTGCATGATAACATCAGTTTCTAAAATTTATGGCTTGTTTTCACAGTTTCAATCCAGAGTCCCAAGTGATATGATTTCCGGAAGGTTATGAAAATAGAACTACTCCCCAAATTAAGAGCTTAACATACTGCTCCTTCCCTGACAAAAAATGTCTCGCACTTGCAATCCATTAACATTCATCTCGACATTTTAAGCAACGTCTGTCCTCTATAGGATCATTCATTCAAAATCACCTCATAAATAGGCCAGGCAGTTACATATTACATATCAATCTTGTAAACATTGTTCAATGAGTAGACTCTACTGTCAAATAAGGAAACAAGGGAACTCAACTTCATATAATCAATGGGTTATTCATCAATTTGAAGAGAAAGGACTTGGCAAAGTTATAAAGATTTTTTTTTTCCTTCTTTCTAGCATAACTACCAACTTAGGCCATGGTTTAAAGCACTTTTCCTTTGGAAAGTCAGCAATGTAACATGATTATAAACCTATGTTAGTCAAACTTGGGTACTAGACTACTAATCACCTGTGTCAAAGTGCAAAACTCGACTATTTTGTTGAAAGTTTTCATGATTTTGGCTCATTAATGTCAAAGTGTCCTACTTATGTCGTGGCGTTGACGATCCAACACGGGTACTACCTTAAAATTACCTTAATCCACTACAAAACTCACATAAGTCACATCTAGCTTTCAATTCCTAAACTCTTTCTACGGTGTAAATGTTAGTACATGCTTAGTTTCAAGCTCATCATACAAAAATAGCCAAAACCATAAAACGTACTCGTATAATTAATTAGCAAACAATGGCTGTAATTGGTAAAAATACTTACTTCTCTTGTGAATTGCTTCCTGTAGATCAGAAACAGTCGCCTGCAAACCAAAACAAACCCAGAAACAAAATCACTAAACAAATCACAAAATCATGCCAAAATTCCATCACTCAGTATAACATTAATTCATACCAATAAGCTAAAAACCATAATTTGAGTGAAAAATGAACACAAAATCAAGAAATGGAGAGACAAAATTACCGAATCATTGAGCTCGATTCCGCCCTTCAATAACTCCTTCCCACTACGCGTCACAACCAAAACCTTCATTTTGGGAGAAGATTAAGAGAAACCCAGTACAGAAGATTGAATTTGCAGCAAACCCTTTTAATTTTTCTGGGTAATTTTGGCGGAGATCCAAATGATGAGCTTAAATCTAGAGCATAACGAAGTAGTCAGTTGATAAGAGAGAGAAATTCCTGGTTTAAAAGGGCAAATAATTGGGCTATAATTAGCTTGTCATATTAATGGTGTGTAGTTAGGAGTAGGAAATCTTAATACCTAACTTCCCCAAAACTGATCAACCACCCGTTTATTGAGCATGGCCTCTTATGAATGAGGTCAATTTATTTGATGCACTACATCATGCCTCCAAGCTCCTTATTAATTTAAGTATTCAATTGGATTCCAATTTGGCTATATAAGAGCTGGCAATAGGTCGGGTCATGTTGAGCGTGTTTTGGTTTACGATTAACAATTTGATTAATCAACACTTTGTAACCCTATTTTAATCAATTCATAATATGATATATTCAAAATTTATATCGTAGGAAATGTGCAATGACTAATATCCGTCTCACCATATGTCCGAACTCACATAATTTCTTCTCATATTTACTTGTCATCTGTGAATTTAATCTACACAACATCATCTAAATGGAAATAAACCAAAAAAGTCACTCCCTCTATCCCTAAATGTTTGTCACTCCCTCTATCCCTAAATGTTTGTCACATTTGTCATTTTAAGCGACATTAAGTGTATACAACGTAATACTTCCTCCGTTTTTATTTTATTACACCATTAGGACTTTTACACTATTCACTTAATCTTCTTTGAGATTTGTGATTTACTCATTCAGAAAAATATAGTCATGTGGAATCTAGTAAGATTCGTCTCGAAATATTCTTTTCAAATATCAAATTTTTATAATTTTTACAAAAGTATAATTGAAGATATTAATGGTTAAAAAAATGCATTGGCAAGCATGAAATCTCTCATGGTGCAATAAAAAAAACGGAGGAAGTACGATGAAAATGTTTGTCACATTTGTCATTTTAAGTGACACTAAAGGCTTGTTCTCATACGTTGAAATTCAGTTTAGTTCTGCTCCTAATTTCCTTCTATTATACGTAGTGCCATGAATTAGTTGAAATTAGTTAGCCTCCAATCCTACATCATCAACCGTTAGAAAACCAACGCAAACAAAAAAGTCAGGCTATTGCAGCCCAAAATCAATATTAGACATTTGTTTATGTTTTTTTTTATAGTAACCCCTTCCTTGTTTCTACTTTCTAGTGTTTCGATATGGGATAATTATATTTTGATTTGTCTATGTGGGACAGTTTTATTCAATTGTAAAGGTGAATTATTTTTCTAGAGATGAATGAAAAAGCAAGGAGAGCTAAAGGATCATCAATGGATGAATATAGGGGTTTTGTGGGACTGCAAGTCTTGGATATTTATCATATCATTGTTGCTTCTTGAAAAAACGACAAATGTTTAAGTTTCATTTATACGGAGTAATTTGATTATGGATGGAACGTCGGAGCACGGAAACATCTTGGTGCCTGAACACAAGAGAACTACCGAAACAATCTCAAGAGTCCTTGGTGACAGGAACCATCTCATTCATGCCATTACCCACTCCAATGTTATCATATCTTAAGAAGTCTCGCCTTGTCTTACCTGTGCTTGTGCTATCTTGTCTTTCTAAGGCAAGCCAAGATGCTACCCTCAACAGTAAAAAAAAATAGGTACTTTTAAAGGGTAATATGTTTTAAGCCTTGCCCTTGTGCACATGCCTCGTGCCCCTTTAAATTTCTTTCTCTGACCAAGAGGACTACTGAAACAAGTTCATTCTCTAGTCTCTACTTACACTACCAGTACAATTCACTGTCACTAAGTTAAAAGGGATTGTTTAACTTCAGCATATGATAAGATTATAAGAACCCTTTTAAACTCCACAACCTACTTCACATAGCATATCTGAGATGATCATACCATTACCAAAACCTGAAGCCTAAATAAGTAGACATGTTATGCCTATTGTGACAATCAGAAAATCTAAAAAGTATGTTATGCTTCTATAAGTACTATTCCAGTATTCCCCATATCATCAATAATAAAGAGTTTCCATTTTACAAAAATAATACCAATCGAGCATACTTTCAACTGTCTACTCAGAAGAAGAAAAAAATCCCCTAAGAAAATTGCATATAATAGTTATCCTTCCAGTAAATCCTTTGTCCTATGAGATATGGTGTAGAGATGGATTGATCATTGATGGTCACCTGTAGAATTTAGAATTTACGACTCAACAGACCTCTCGTTAAATCAAGTTTAGCTTTCAGATAAGAGGCTCTTGAAATCACCTTATGTCCTTAAATCTGTTTAGCTTTATATAACTACAAAATCTGAAACAAAGGATGTGAAACTTGAGAAGTCAGATTCACAACAACAATGCTTGGCTGCTTGCACCCAATACCTAATCAAATTGTATTGGATAAATTTCGGTTCACGTCGGGTTCGGTGTAAGATAATTAAATTGGCCGTTTAAAAGCACATTGAATGGTTCCGGAGGGTATTAGGGACCACGGTAAACATTTCGGCAATTTTTATTTCGGAGCGAAAAAAAAAGTCAAAAAATTCCATAATTGAAGGCTAATATCCACGCTTTTTGACAAATTTTGGAGGTTTTGAGGCCCCGTGTTAAAAGTCTTGAAATTCTATGGAATACATCTCGGGGTCATATAATGTCGTTTGGAACCATATATGATCGTTATTTGTTGTCATAAATGTTCGTGGTAGGCTTGAATTAATGAAATCGGTGCAAGTTGTAAACCGGTAAATTGGTCCTTTAAAGGCAAATTGGATTGTTCCACCCACCCAATTGGACTCCCAAAGGGTATTAGGGACCATGGTAAACATTTCGGCAATTTTTATTTCCGGACGAAAAAAAGTCAAAAAAATTCCAAAATTGAAATCTAATATCCACGTTTTTTGAGAAATTTTGGAGGTTTCAGGCCCCGTGTCGAAAAATCTTGAAATTCTATGGGATACATATCGGGGTCATATAATGCCGTTTGGAACCATATATGATCATTATTTGTTGTCATAAATGTTCATGGTAGACTTGAATTAATAAAATCGTAATAAGTTGTAAACAAGTAAATTGGTCCTTTAAAGGCAAATTAGATGGTTCCACCCACCCAATTGAACTCCCGGAGGATATTAGGGACCATGGTAAATATTTCGACAAATTTTATTTTCGGGCAAAAAAAAGTGACCAAAATTGAAGGCTAATATCCACGCTTTTTGAGAAATTTTGGAGCTTTCGGGGACCGATGTCGAAAATGCTTGAGATTTTAGGGGATACATCTCGGAGTCATATAATGCCGTTTGAAACCATATATGATCATTATATGTTCTCATAAATGTTCGTAGTAGGCTTGAGTTAATTTAATCAATGCAAGTTGTAAACCGATAAATTGGCCGTTTAAAGACAAATAGGATGGTTCCACCCACCCAATTGGACTCCTGGAGGGTAATGGGGACCATGGTAAACATTTCTGTAATTTTTATTTTCGGGCGAACAAAAGTTAAAAAAATTCCAAAATTGAAGGCTAATCTCCACGTTTTTTGAGAAATTTTGGAAGTTTCAGGACCCGGTGTCGAAAAGTCTTTAGATTTTACGAGATACATCTTGGGGTCATATAATGCCGTTTGGAACCATATATGATCATTATTTGTTGTCATAAATGTTCGTGGTAGACTTGAATTAATAAAATCGTAACAAGTTGTAAACCGGTAAATTGGTCTTTTAAAGGCAAATTAGATGGTTCCACCCACCCAATTGGACTCCTGGAGGATAATGGGGACCATGGTAAACATTTCTGTAATTTTTATTTTCGGGCAAAAAAAAAGTGAAAAATTCCAAAATTGAAGGCTAATATCCACGCTTTTTAAGAAATTTTGGAGGTTTCGGGGCCCGGTGTAGAAAAGTATTTATATTTTAGGGAATACATATCAGGGTCATATAATGTCGTTTGGAACCATATATGATCATTATATGTTGTCATAAATGTTCGTGGTAGACTTGAATTAATAAAATCGTAACAAGTTGTAAACCGGTAAATTGGTCCTTTAAAGGCAAATTAGATGGTTCCACCCACCCAATTGGACTCCCAGAGGGTATTAGGGATCATGGTAAATATTTCGACAATTTTTATTTCCGGACGAAAAAAAGTGAAAAAATTCCGAAATTAAAGGCTAATATTCACGCTTTTTGAGAATTTTTGGAGGTTTTGGGGACCGGTGTCGAAAATGCTTGAGATTTTAGGGGATACATCTCGGAGTCATATAATGCCGTTTGAAACCATATATGATCATTATATGTTTTCATAAATGTTCGTAGTAGGCTTGAGTTAATTTAATCAATGCAAGTTGTAAACCGATAAATTGGTCGTTTAAAGACAAATAGGATGGTTCCACCCACCCAATTGGACTCCCAGAGGGTATTAGGGACCATGGTAAATATTTCGACAATTTTTATTTCTATGCGAAAAAAGTCAAAAAATTCAAAAATTGAAGGCTATATCCACGCTTTTTGAGAATTTTTGGAGTCTTCGAGAACTGGTGTCGAAAAGTCTTAAAATTCTAGAGAATACATTTCAGGGTCATATAATGTCGTTTGGAACCATTTTTGATCATTATTTGTTGTCATAAATGTTCGTGGTAAACTTGAATTAATAAAATCGTAACAAGTTGTAAACCGGTAAATTGGTCGTTTAAAGGCAAATTGGATCGTTCCACCCACCCAATTGGACTCGCGGAGGGTATTTGGGACCATGGTAAACATTTCGGCAATTTTTTTATCCGGGCCAAAAAAGTAAAAAAAATTCTAACATTGAAGGCTAATATCCACGCTTTTTGAGAAATTTCGAATGTTTCGAGGCCTGGTGTCGAAAAGCATTGAGATTTTAGAGGATAAATCTCGGGGTCATATCATGCCGTTTGGATCCATATATGATCATTATATATTCTCATAAATGCTCGTGGTAAGCTTTAGTTAATTAAATCGGTGCAAGTTGTAAACGGTAAATTAGTCGTTTAAAGGGATCCATTATATGATCATTGTATATTGTCGTAAATACTTGCACCCAATACAATTTGTGAGCCATGTAGTTATCTTAGTAGCTTGCAATGTATGCAATATAATCAAACTTTGTTGTTACAATTACATTATTCATTCTCCCCAAAAAATTATTTAAAAAATCATAGGCTGCACAAAAATTTTGGAGTCTGTCAGACAACCGTGTGACCATCCCAAGCTCACAAAGTAGCCGGGGAAC